AATAATGCAGTGAAGAACCAGGCACTCCACTCTGATTGAACACAGGTGGAAGTGGAGGTCCCTAGGAAATGGAGGGGAGGGCTGGACATAGGGTGTGACGTGGGTTCTGTCACAATGGCCAGCTCCTCAGTACACACGGATCAGGTGCTCCTCCCTGCCTGGCCCTACCAGGCCTGGGCCCAGCACCTTGCATGGAGGCCCAGTTGCCTCCCCACACATCTGGCATGAGCTGCCCTTGTCCTTCCTCTGCGCATGTGGAATGAATGGACCAGGTCCTTCAACGGTGAACCAGACAGGAAGCACTGCCCTGGGAGAGGGAGCCTGTAGATCCAACAAGACTTAGAAGACACTTCCAGTGCTTTTAGGTGGGCAGGAATAAGCAGTGTCAAGGACATGCACAGGCACCCAAGCCATGAAGAGACCCGAGCGAGGGATCCCTATAAGAGAGTGAGCGGCCGAGGCTGGGCTTCAGGCTGGCACAGTGGTACCTCTTCACCTTGCAACAAGCCACTGAGATCTATGCCTGCCTACGTATCTATCGTCTATCCATCATCTATCAAACTATCCAATGTCATCTATTCTCATCTATCATCCATCAGTCAATCTTTTCATCTTTTCCATCAAATTAATACAACAGCTTCTAGCAATCATCTCTTTCTAATCATCTATCTAATCTATCTATCCATCATCTATCTATTATCTATCTATCTAATCTATCTGACCATCCATCCATCATCCATCCATCATCCATCCATCCATCCGTCCGTCCATCCATCCATCCGTCCATCCATGTATCTACCATCTATCTATCTAATAATCTCTCTGTTATAGGAAAGAGGTTAGGAGACCCTCCCATCGCACTCTGCCCCGTTGGTCATCTCCAGCTGTATGTGACTGCCCCTACCTGCTCCCACACGTCACTGCTTCCCCAGCAACAGCCCAGCTCACAGGACTTGTGCACAGGCTTCCTTGTCCTCAAACCTTCTTCCCAGACTTCCACATGGCCCCTCGCCATCATCCCAGGTCACCTACTGACCTCCCTGCGTGTCCCTCCTTGTCCCCCCCACCACCCAACTTGGTGGGTACATCTTGTTGACTTTCCAGGTCCCCCATGAGAGCAGAGCTGAATCCACGGGCAGGACAGGCTGGAGTGGATACATCAGGTCCTAGGATCCCATAGGGGCTATCAAACCCTCCCAGAAGCTAGCTTGGCTCTCAGCAGCTCCTGGGCCTGTTTTTTGTCTGTCCCTTGGCTGCTGTGACAGGTGCACAGGGTCTAGCACAGACAGGCAGGTGAGTGGGTTCTGCCCCAGACATTTACTGAGCACCTACTATATGCTGGACAGTGCTGAGGACACAAGCTGCAGGTAGGTGGTGGCATCTGGTAGGAGAGCCAGGTCAGACCAAGGATCCTTAAGTAGGAGAAGCACAGACAGGGATGCGGGTGCCAAGCCCTGCCCCCGGCTCCTGCAGAGCCCCTTGGCCCTTAGGAGACCCAGCAGGTAGAACACTCATTCTTGGAGTGCCCGCCCTGGACTTGGGCTGGACTCAGACACCAGCTTCAGGAGGAGAGTCCACCTGGCTGCACTGTCTCTGGCAACATGGACAGTGACTCTAGCCCAAGGCACCAAAGCATAAACTGCAATGGGGCCAAGACAGTGATCAGGGAGGGGCGGCATCAGACTGGTCAGGAAGGCCTCCGGAGCAACCTTAGAGCTAAGCCCCGGCCAGCCGATGGGGGCCTGGAAGGATGCTCTTCAGGGGGCAGCAGCGCAGGCTGAGGACTGAGATGGGAACCCCAGAAATCAGGGTCAGAGCTGGTGGAGTGGTTGGTGAATGAGCCTGGGAGTTGGTGGGCGGGGAGGTTGGGGGCAGCCAGCATGGGTGTCTGAGTAGGTGAGGCCACCTTGGCATGGGGACCGCAGGGGGTCAGGGTGCACATATCCAACTGGGGATGGCCCAGGGCCCAGCACAGCCGTCTGGGTTCATCCCTCCCCCTTGGTCCTGGTGAACTTCCTTTCCTGGCCAAAGGAGGAGCTAAGACATGTGTTGGCCAACATCCGGCTGGCTGCTTGTGTGTAAGGCCAGGCACACAGGGGGCCTTCTCTCCTGCCGGACCGCCAGCCAGCCCACACCGCAGGCCACGGCCAAAGCAGGGACCGAGTGCTAGGCGGCATGCATCTCAGTCAGCCCTGGCCACGCAACCTGTGGCCAACGCCACATCGCCTCCTCTCAGGACACATTTCGCACCCACCATATACCTTCGCAGCTTCCTTTTCCACTCAGCACGTCTCAGAACCCATTCCCGTATCAACTGCTTTTCACACCCTCTATGGGACAAACACAAAAGCGGAGAGAGCAGTGCCACGAGCTCAGCTTCTCGGCATCCACACAGTCCACCTACTCAGTAGTTGCTGCTGTTTTCCCCGGGAGTGTTTTCAAGCAGAGCCCAGGTTAGACCCCTTCACTCAGGAGTGCTTCTGCTTTCCGTCACTTCAGCAATGGGGCTGTGCAGACCCGATGTCAGCCCAGACACAGGACTGCAGGGTGGGGGCCGCTCATCCATCCGAGGAACCGGGAGCTGGAGTCACCCCAAGTCATGGGGCCCAGCCCAGATGGGGACAGAAGAAAAACGATGAGGAAGGAAGTGGGGGCCTTGGCAGTGCTGGAGGCCTCGCCCCTCCCCTGTGCCCCTGGAAGGCTGCTTGGAGGAGGAAAGGGCAGAGGCTGGCAGGAGATGCTCAGGTACCACAGCGGGGACACAGAGGCAGTGTGGGATGGAGGATGGGGCAGGCTGGCCCTACTCCCACCTCAGGCCACCAGATGCTCCGCATCCCGGGAGATGAGGGGCTGGGGCTGGGAGGGCCGGTGGGGAGAACAGAATGGGTAGTGGGGGGTTGGGGAAGGACGGGGGACCAAGGAGAAGAAAGTGAAGCGCCAGACACTGGTGGCCCGGGAGCCAGATTTCCACTGGGTGAGGGGTCCTGTGGGGCAGGTGGGCCCTGAGAGTGCAGGGCCTGGTCCCGGCATGGCTCCCAGCTCCCCTCTGCCCAGAGAATGTCCCCGCTGACCACAGGCATCACTGGACACCACTGTGGGGAAGCAGCAACTTCAAACTTGGCAGAGAGACGTGGGGGCAGGACCTCAAGGCCTGTCAGCAGGCGGCCAGGAAACAGTGCTGGAAACGTGTGAGGGGCAACACGCCGCTGCTCCACACCTGACCCTGCCTGGGTCAGAAGTCACCAGGGGCTGCTGATGCCAGTGACCTCAGACTTCCACCTCCGTGCCTCCAAACCTCACCCCGGGAGATGTCAGGAGCCAAAGAGCTCCCCAAGCCAAGATTCTGGAGAAGGCGGCCCTGGCCAGAACCATGTGCTCCTGACGCCCCTGCAGGATAGCTGAAGAGCGGACGGGGAGGTCAAGGCCGGTCCAGCCCTGGGAACAGGGAGATGGCACATGGAGCCTGACAAAGAGCATGGGCTTTATTGGTCATTCATGATTAGAAAAGTGGGCGCTGGGACCCCCGTGGAGGGGGCTGGGCTCTGCCTGGTCACTGCTGGTGCAGGGTATATACAGGGTCTATGGCCCTCACAGGCCTGGCTGGCTCCCTCTTGATGGCCACCAAGCCCAGGCACTTGAGACCAGAGCCAGTGACCATTAGTAGGGCCAAAGGCAGTTCTGGCTGTGCAGGGTCCCTGGGTTAGGAAGTGGATAGAGGCTGGGGTCACCATGGCAACCCGGACAGGGCCCACGCGAGGTGGGGACGCTGGTGCTTCGCGAGAGGGAGAGACATCTCCTTGTCTTTCTGGAATGTCCTAAGACAGAGGCTGGCCCTGGTCCCTCTTCCAGCCCATCCACGGACCTGCTGTGTGTCCTTGGGTGGGTTGAGACCCCTCTCTGGGCACAGGTCTCTGTGGCTATCCAGTTCTGACCCTCTGGGCTATTGTGGCCAGCCCCATGTGCCAGGAGGGAGCTGCCTCCTGGGAACAGCCGCCGAGAGACAAGAGTGGCCTCCTGCATGGCGCTTGGTCGCAGTCAGAGCAAGGGCTGGTCCGGGGACATGGTGAAGATGAGGCCAGCCTGGGCTCTGGCAGTCTGGGGAGTGCCACGTGCAGGGAGGTGGACACCTCACAGGTACGGCAGCTCCTGGGGTCGGGCAGCTGAGTTGCAAGGCAGGCAGCATCCAGGGTCCTGGAAAGGAGAGAGAGGAGAGGCTCTGAGCCTGGAAGGAGAGAGAGGAGAGG